AGCACCCTCAGACGCACCAGCGCCAGCAGCACCTCCAGCGCCAACACCCCCAGCAGCTCCACCTCCAGCAGCTCCAGCTCCAGCAGCACCAACTCCAGCAGGACCGTCAGCTCCAGCAGCCTCAGCAGCACCCCCAGGCCCAGCAGCTCCAGTACCGCCAGGACGAGCACCTCCAGGACCAGTGGCTCCAGTAACTCCAGTGCCGACCCCAGGGTCAGCAGTAATAGCAGCACCTCCAGCTCCAGCAGCACGGCTCCAGCGCCGGGCAAACCACTCGCGCAGCTCCTGTGGAGAGGGTAGCTCTCGCCTCGACGAAGCACCCGAAGGGGCCCAAAACCCAGCACCGCCAGGCTCCGCACCCCCAAGCTCCGCACCCCCAGGCTCAGCACCCCCAGGCTTCGTACCCCCAGGCTCAGCACCCCCAGGCTCCGCACCCCCAGGCCCAGCATCCCCAGACTCAGCACCCCCAGAGTCAACAGCTACCTCGACAGGCTCGACTGCGTCTACCTGGGACACACCTGACGGGGCAGGACCCTGAGGGGGGAGGGGGTCTACCGGGGGGGGACCTGGCGCAAGGAAGAGCGGCGGCGGGGGGAGGGGCGCAGTGCGGTAGGGGAAGAGACGGTAGTAAGGAACCGACTCGTCAAACGTGACGTCCTGGGAGGACAGAACACGGCGCGAGGTGGGGTGGTAAAACTGCCAACTAGGCGCGTCAGGGGGGAAGCCAAGGAAGACGCAGGGAACCGCACGGGGGGACAGCTTGTCCGCAGACAAGTCGCGGACAAACGCCCAAGATCCCGAGACACGAAACGCAGACGCATCGCCAACCTTCCCCGTCCACCGCAAGGTGGGGGAGGTCTCTGGCAAAGAGACCCGGGGCTGAAGGTTGATCTGATGCGCTGCGTACTGAACCGCAAACGGCCACAGAAAATGGGGAGCAGCCGCATGGATCATGGACGTACGAGCGACGTCCATGACCATGCCAATGCGGCGCTCAGCAATCCCATTTTGCTGTGGAGAGGCCGGAAGCGTGAAGGTCTGGCGGATGCCCTGTGCACGACAGAAGGCTCCCAGAAGGGCAGAGGAAAACTCCCCGCCTCTGTCAGAGTGCAGACGCAGAACAGGAAAGTCCGAGCCGAAACTCTCTCTGAGCTGGAGACGAGCTGCGCGGATCCAGTCGATCAACACCTCAGTGACGTCACCCTTGCTGCGCAAGGGGAACACCGTGGTGTAACGCGAGTAGTCGTCAACCACCAACAGGAAGTAACGCTCGTGACCCTGGCCACGGACGCGGGCGGGGCCCCACACGTCCATGTGAAGAGTCTGCAGCGGAGCCTCTGTCGGAGGAAACTCGGAGGAGTGAGGGGCGGCGCGCTGCCGCCCCTCGATGCAGGGAACGCAGGTAGGGGCAGGCCCCGGAGGGAGGGGAGGGAGGGACCGGGGGAGACCAGAGACAAGGACACGGGAGGCCATGCCTCGGAGACGAGGCAGGGAGTGGTGACCAAGGCGGTGGTGCCAGAGGAGAGTCTGGTGAGACAGGAGACGACACGAGCAGGGGGCAGACTCAGGACCAGACCTGGACGTCGCAGCAGACGCCTGACCCGACGCAGCTACCTGACCAGACGCAGTAGACTGAGGAGGACCAGTAGTCAGTGTGTACAGGCTCGACCCCGGTCGACGAGTTAACGTGGCCAAGTGTCGGCCCGTCCGAGCACACGTGCAGTGGGTCACCCGCTGACTCGCAGGAGTGAACTGGTGAACCCCCCCATCCTGTAGATCTACACCACTCACCAAGTTCGTAGAGAACGAGGGGAGGTAAAGACCTGACAGGGTGCCAGAGGGGGCCGCCGGATACGGTAATACAGTGGAGAAGTGGGCAAGGACAGGACCCCCGGAGGGGTGTGCCAAGGAGACCGCCACTGGCCGACTAAGTGGCGTGAGTGTGGTGCGGTCTCGAAAGAAGGAGCGGGAAGCACCCGAGTCAAGGGTGAAGGTGTGGGAGGCCTGAGTCGACGTGGTACCTGAGAGAGCAGACTCACCAGCACCTGGGGCAGCAGACTCACTAGCACCGAGAGCAGTAGCCTCACCAGCACCTAGAGCAACAGCCTCACCAGCACCTAGAGCAGCAGTCCCAATGCCCGGGTCAGGCGGAACACACAAGTAACAGTCGCCCTCATCACTAGTAGACACAGCATACATGGCAGCAAGTATAGCATCAAAGTCAAGATCAAAGATAGCAACCCCCGCCCTAGACAGCTCTCCCCAGCGAGGGATCTCAGTGGCATCAGGGAACTGGTGACGCCAAGCGTCCGTCAGGCGGCCGAAGCAGCGCTGGGTGGAGTGCGAGCCCCCGCACTACTCACCAGCGCGGTCGCCGGTACGGAGGACGTAGGTACAGGGACCAGTACCCCCACCTCGCTGACGCGCAGCGTACCACTCACGAAGCTGCTGGGGGGACGGGGTCTCACGAGTGCGCTGCTGCAGCTGGCGCGGACCACCACCGGAGCCACTCCTCTGCGCAGAGCCGCGACCAGCTCCACCGCCGCCGCCGCCTCAAAGTCAACTCCACGACCCTCAGCATCAAAGGTAAGGACACTGGGGGTAGCCATGACAGCAGTGGTCTAGCAGGGAGTGCTCTCACCAGTCCGGGTGGGTAGGGCCGGGGCGTGCCGGTAGGAACAGGGCTGCAACCGTGGTGGCAGCGGTTCGGCAGTGGCAGTAGCGGCTCGACGGCGGCTCGTTAGTGGCGGCTCGACGGCGGCCTCGGCGGCTCGGCGGCTCGGCTGCTCGGCGGCTCGGCTGCTTGGCGGCTCGGCGGCTCGGCGGTTCGGCGGCTCGGCGGCTCGGCGGCTCGGCGGCTCGGCGATTCGGCAGCTCGGCGGCTCGGCGGTTCGGCTGCTTGGCGGCTGGGCGGCTCGGCGGTGAAGGGGCCGGGGAGGGGCCGAAAGGGGCGGCGACGGGGCCGCAAGGGGCGGCGACGGGGCCGCTAAGGGTGGTGACGAGGCCGCAAGAGGGCGGCACTGGGGCCGCGAGAGGGCGGCGACGCGGCCGCGAGAGGGCGGCACTGGGGCCGCGAGAGGGCGGCGACGAGGCCGCGAGGAGCGGCTGCAGGGCCGTGACGGGCGGCGACGCGGCCGCTAAGGGCGGCGGCGGGGCCGCGAACGGCGGCGACGGGGCCGCGAGAGGGCGGCGACGGGGCCGTGGAGGTGGGGCCGCAAGGGGCCGCTGAGGGCGGCGCGACGGGCCGCTAGGGGGCGGCGACGGGGTCGCGAGGGGCCGTGAGAGGGGGGGGGGGCGCTAAGGGCGGCGCGACGGGTCGCTAAGGGGAGGGCGGCACACAGGGCGCGCCTCGGTCAGGGGCGACTCGATCTCAGGGCAGGAAAAAGAAAGAAAACTCGATTTTCAGTGGTGGGCCCTATGAAAAGTTCCCACTAGGGAACCTGCTCTATACCATGTGAAGAAATGAGGAATGAATGAACTAGCAAGCAGATGGGTACAAGTAGGAAAGCCTAAAAGTGTTGTACCCCATATCGTCTACCCCACTACAGCCTACACAGACTATAGCATATGAGTTTGACATGAAGCAAGGTCACGCAAAATATTTCGCGACATGCTGGAGGGAACGGAAAACGTCGAATTTAGAGCACTTGCAAAACTCATTCACTGGTGCCCAGGTGTGATAAGGGGAGGCCGAGTTGTAGAGGACCAGCATGGGTGTCACAGCAATACACCGCACATGGTTCCGCGCTTTGACAGCGGCCGCATTGGGAGAATGCATCTGACCTTTTCGTGCTTCTGGCCGGCTGACTTTAAACCCGTAATCGGTGGATGGGTGCTGACCCAAGGATTTTATATTGGAATGTTGAATGATCGGTAAGTCCGTTCTCCTTTGTGCTTCCTGGGAATGAATGTCTGGCAGTGTGTTCCCGACTTATTCAAATGGACTAGGCCAGACCAGGTAGGTGCAGGGTGACTTAAGGGTATGGGAGGGAGGAGGGAGGAGGGCCTAGGGGACAGCTGGGGTTTGGGAATAGCAACATGGCAAATACCATAAACAAGGGCCTACCTCGACCAACATCAAGCCATCAGGTGGCGGGCCTAGATGGCGCAGGGTTGGGGAGCCTTGCCACTTGTAGGGTCTCGAGCCTCGCGGACCGAGAGGAGGTCTCCAAGGCGATGGTTCAATGGTTGATCATTGTTGCTAGGTAACTATGATTAAGGAAACACGGCTCGATATTCGAAATTAAAGAACAATTTGGCAAGAGAGGCATTATGCATGCGTTTCCTTATCTCTTTTCCTCTCCCTCTCCCCCAATGATCAAGCAACTCAAAAGTAGACAAATGTTACGAAGGGGATCTGTTCGCTTTCTCAATGACCCTGACATCATGCCCCTGCTTTTCAGCAATGTATCTTGTGCCTCATGCGCTTGGTTGGCATGGCATTTAGCTATGCTGGTTCAAGCATGAAGTGCATTCAATAGTTGTTACTGCTTTCCTTTCCACGATAACGCATTTCCTTGTCTCATCATCAGGTTGCATGGTTCACTTTCTGGGCGCTCGTTCGTACAAGATAAGTTTTGCCCTTACTACTCATCGGAGGTGAGTTCAGTCCCTTGTTTGATGGTAAAAAAGAACCTGAACATTCCCCATCTACATTGGTTCGTTTTCCTTCTTTATGCCATTAAAAAAAATGTCTAAATTGTTCGACAGGTCTGGGACACTACTGACAGCTCGCATTTGAACCATGGATCTGACACCGTTACCTTCATGGTTCAGTATACTTGCACAAAGGTGCGTCCTACCACCTACCCTGGTAACATAGTTACTTTCTCAAATGGTACCTTTGTACTTGGAATACTTACCAGTGGAGTAAGATTTCTCCTTTTCACAACACAACAAATAAAACCCTTTCCCAACTTCGCAACATCTTTTTTAACTGGCCATTGTGCCTCTTGCTGGGTCATTTTTACTCAGCAGTTAAGGACTCTTACAGCAAAGACATGAGAGCAATGCCAACAGGACCAGGGGTGGCACAGGAGGGAAGGGATGGTGAGGAGGGGATGGAGGAGGGGATACAGCAAGGCATGGAGCATGGGGATCATGACGGGGAAGGTGCCACCAGTTACCATGCCAGCCATGTGAGTCCATCTTCTAACTTGCCGCTAGTGCTGGTTATAAGTTTGTGCTGCCAAAATTTCTCACACAAGCTATTTTTGAAAAGACATGAGATTCCCCATGTCTGTCCATTGCTGGGAGCTGTTGCTAGAAATACCTTGTACTCAGATGCATTCACCCAAGTTGCATTCGGTGATAAGCACGTGCTGGCGACAGCTTGCACTTGCCCTTCTAAGGATTGAAATTCATGCAAGTCACTCATGCTGTTATGTTGACTCATCCGCCCATTCGTGCATCCATGCGAGCCCCTCTGATTCCCATTTTTTCTTCCCGTTCCTTCTCTCCTTCCCTCCCACTCCCGCGCTTCAGCCTGCAGCTGCAGCGTTAGCCGTGGGAGTGCCTTCAGCTGCGCCCAGTCATGCTGCAGTTCCTCTTGCTGCTCCTCCTCCTGCCCCGCTTGCTCCTCCTACTGCCGAACCTTTTTCTGATCCTCCTGCTGCTACAGCCGTTCGTGCCGCGCCTGCCATAGTTCCTCGTGCTACGGTCATTGCTGATCCAACGTTGTCCTCTCAAGCCCGTCGTGCTGCTTCACAAACTAACCAGCGGTGTGTTTCCGCCTTCCCAGGTAACCTACAGTTTCCAATGGAAGAGTGGGAGGGAAGGGAAGGTTTTATGGGCGGGCGATGAAGGAAGCAGTTGGTGGAGGGGTTGGTTGGAGGGAAGCTCGGCAGGGTAGGAGGAGGGCATGTAGGCATAGAGGGGAGGGGGTGGTGGGATAAAGGGGGGAAGGTTGGCAGAGAGGGGGAAACAGAGGTTGGAGAGGGGAGAGGGGGTTGGGATAGAGAATGGGAGGATGGTAGTGAGAGGGGTGAATGTTGACAGCAAGGGAGGGGAAAGCTTTGTAGTGACTTGTGTGGGAAAGGTGGGAAGAGGGGATATGGTTAGCAGAGAAGGGCGGGAGGGGAGAGAGGGGACTTCGGCAGAGATGGGGAAAGGACAGAGGTAAGCGCGCGCAGATGGGGGAAAGCTTGCGAAGGACAAAAGGAAGAAAGGTTGTTAGGTAAGGGAAGAGGAGGTTGGCAAAGAAGTGGGTTGGGAAGTTGACAGAGAAAGGGCGAAGGGGGTTCTGCTGTTGCCGCCTTGTCATCCCATGGGTGTCATAACTTTTGCGTTTTTTGTGTCTCAAAAAGCTGGAGCATTGTGGCGAGCGCAGTCTGATTTCAAACAGTGCTTCGTTTTTTCCAACGCCCTTTTTCCATAACCGTCTTTCTTTCCCGTGCATGCGCAGCAGCCAAGCTCAAGACTCACAAATATCAAACCAGTTTGGACAATTTGGGAATAAGAACCCACGTCTTCCACATACGATTGCACATGCTTGTCCTCATGCCATAATGCATGCCCATCTTTACCCTGTCCCGTTTTCCTGCCCTGCCCCGTTTACTTGTCCTACAGCGCATGCTTCTCGCCATGCCTCTCGTCATGCCTCTCAGCGTGTTGCATCAGCTGCTGCCACTCGCGCTACAGCCGTGACTGCTCCTTGCATCACGACTCGAGCTACTTCTCGTGCTGCCACCCGATCCACTTTGGCACCTTACAGCACCACCACCACCTCTGTCACCACCGCCACCACTGCCACCACTGCCCCCACTGCCACCGGCACTACAGGCACCATCGCCACCCACCCCATCGCCGGCTACAGTACTGGCACCACTGCCACCCGCATTACCCAACGCACTACCTGTTATGTGATGCTATCATTTGTCAACGGGAGCGTTGTAAGGCCCCGTCCTCGCTTGGGCGGAGCCAACCTTGTGGTTGGATGTGCGGGGGGTGCAGCCGACCTGCAGCAGTGGGCACGGTGGCCACTGCAAGGGCGCCAAGCTGGAGGGCGCCTGGCTGGAGGGCGCCGAGCAGGAGGACGCCGCCCTGGACGCCTGGTTGGCGTCCCGGATGCCTGGACGGCGTCCTGGGAACCTGGACGCCGAGCTGGGCGTCGCCACTACTACCCGGGTGCCTGATCGACGTCGTGGGCGCCTGCACGGCCTTCTAGAAGGCCAGGCGCCGATCTAGGGACCTGGGCGTCCCGGGGGGCCCACACACCGACCTGGGCGTCTGGTCGGCGTCCTGGGAGGAGGGACGCTGCTCTGGAGGCTTGGTCGGCGTCATGGGCGTCTGGACGCCGACATGGGGATTCGAAGGCATCCTGGGCGCCTGGTCGCCGGACTGGGGACGCCGGGCATCCGTGGCCGACTACGGACTGCGCTGGTCGGCCAGGCGTGGTTGCCCGGTCGACCAGGATACCCGGGCGACGTGCGCAAGTGTCGCCAGGGTGGAGTCTGCAATGCCGACCTCGTGGGTGGTATCCCGAGGTCGACGTGGCTGGTGGGCGCAGTCGCTGGCGTGGAGTCTGCCAGGCGCCTGCGCTGGGCACGTGACAAGGAAGTGCGCACCAACCAGCTGCGCGCACCTGCGAAGCAGGTGCACCGTTGTCCTGCGAGTGCAACGCTGTGCAGCCGACTTGCTGCAGCGTTGGCACCCCGTGGACTGCAACGTTGGCGAACCGCTACTCTGCTACGCTGGAGCGGTGCGAGCGCTGCTGCGCTAGAGGTCGACCAGCACCCTAGCTAGCACTGATGTAGTCTGTGATGCCAATGTTGTTGCTATTATTGTTGTCATGTTTTCCTAGTGAAACTCTTGCCAATTCTCCCCGTGAACTAGCAAGAAGCGTGAACACAAGGAAACGACTAAGTGAACGAACGCAGAGATCACACGAGCACACGTGCCTAGCCCGTAGTCTAGCTCCCGTTGCAGCAGTTATCTCCGCATGGTGCGGTGAGCGTGGACGACACCGCGACGTAGTTCAGTCTAGCCGACTTCGCACTTACCGATCGTGTTCGTAGACCGGCAGCCGTGCAGTCACTACCGTGCGCGTAGGCGACGCCGAGGTGATGGACACCCTGGAGGGACGGCTGGAGGATGCGAGGAGACGCCATGAGGCACAGAAGTACGGGGCGATACCCTGGGCAGTCGTCGAGGCAGGACTCCGCTCCATGTGGGCGACGGAACATCCCTCTTCACGACCAGCTTCTCCTCGACCGGTGACCAACGAAGGCGGCGTTGACGTGGGCGTCAACGCTGGAGGTGGCCAAGTCGGCAGCAGTGCGGGAGGCACGTCGAGGCAGCGAGGTGTGATACACGCCGGTGAAGCCGGCGGCGTTCAGGCTCGAGGGATGCAGTCGTCGGCGGCTGCAGGCTCCTCGCAGGGCGACGCCGGTGGGCGTCAAAGTGGATTGTCGCCGATGTCGGCGACCCAGGTGACGGCGGGCGGGATTGCACCGAGCTACGGCTACTTCAAGTTTACGCCGGACAGGATCTCGGTCACCCCGCCGCTCGTTGGTCGACAAGACATCCTCACCTGGAAGGAAGCCATCGAGCCCCAGCTGGAGATGGCCGGGCTGATCGGCTTTGCCCGAGGGACCGTGGCGACGCCGGGGGAGCACCACCCCGACCTGCGTGCAGAGTTTCGCGCCGTGCAGTTGTTGACCTTCACGGTCATCTCGCGGTGCTGCTCGCCGGGCGTGCAGATTGCCTTGAAGTGGTGCCGAGAGTACCTTGACGCCGGCCACCGGGCGTGGAACTTCATCGAGTCGACCTATCAAGTCACCGACGACTTGTTCATCGCCCAGCTAGAGGGACAGCTGACGCACCTGCGCATGGGCGACGAGGAGACGGCGACCGACTACTGCAACCGGGCCCGGCGAATACTCGCCACCATCAGGATGGCCGGCGCGCAGTACTCGACGGCGTCGTACGTCACCCACGTCATGCAGGGACTCTCGAGCAGCTACAGCCTGCTGAAGCGGCTGTCCATGGCGCCGAGCACGAAGGCGACTCTCAACGAGGACAAATTGACCTCGTATATCCTGCAGGACGAGGCGATGCAGGAGGCCGAGCGATCCCAGGAGCTCTTGGCGCAGGCCAACTTCGTCGCCCCGACGAAGCAAGGAGGCCGACCAGGGCAGCGTGGGCAGTCGGGCGGTGGTGGTAGCAGTGGCTGGAAGCCGAGCAAGGACGTCGACAAGAAGAAGTCGACCAAAGACAGCGGTCGAAGAGGAGGGGGTCGACGACGGGAGTGCTGGCTGTGCGGCGACCCCGACCACCTCTCCTACGAGTGCCCTGACCGCAGTGACTCCGACGACGACGACGCCAAGGGAGGCCGCGGGAGGTCTGGCAGTCGTCGCCCTCGTCGAGGAGGAAACAAGGTGCGCAAGGAGAAGCAGTCGACGACGTCGACCTCGGCGAAGGACGCCGACTCCTCTGCAGGCGGCAAGGGGCGGGACGACAAGACGGCGTCGTGCTCGCTGGTCGGCGTCGTGGAGCCGACCGTCTCGCTGGCGCCAGAGGCTGGGGAGGACTTCCAGGCGGTGGCGGCAGCTGTGCAGGCGAACCCGGCGGTGGTACTGCTCGACAGCGGTTGCTCCCACCACCTGATGGGGACGAAGGAAGTCTTCGTCGACCTGCAGACGAGCGGCCCCATCAAGCACGTGCGCGGCTTCAATGGGGCACTGCAGGACGTCCAGGGCCGCGGAACCTTCGCTCTTCAAGGGGAGGCCGGGAAGCAGGTGCTCATCCCCGACGTGCTGTACGTCCCGGGTGTGCGGGCGAACCTGCTTTCAGCCGGCCAGCTGAAGGAGCACGGCGTGAAGCTGCAGGAGGACGGCGACGGGATGCTGCTCGTCTCGGCAGCAGGGGAGGTGCTCGGTCGGGCGACGTACAACGGGCGTGTCCTCTGCACCGATCTGCGCCCCTGCTCGGCCACGCCGACAAAGCCTACCACGGAGGTAGTGGCCCTGCGCGCGATCGTCTCGGCGACGAAGGCATCGCCGGACAGGATGCACGCAAGGCTTGCGCACGTCGGCATGGACACCATCAGGAACTCGGCGAAGAACGAGGTCGCCATTGGGCTGGACCTCAAGTCGGCGACGGGCGCCGACTCACCGTGTGTCTCGTGCGTCGGCGGGAAGCTGGCGCGGCACACCTTCCCCGACCAAGGCTCCGACGCCGACGACGTGCTGGCCGTCGTGCACATCGACCTGTGCGGGCCGTTCCGCGTGGCTGCCAAGGATGGCAGCCTGTACTTCTTGCTGCTGAAGGACCGCAAGACCCGCTACGTGTGGGTGAAGCCGGTCGCCAAGAAGTCAGATGCGTTGCCGGTGTTCGTGCAGTGGCTGGCGGTGGCTGAGCGGCAGACGAGGAAGTCGGTGTTGATGCTGCGCTCTGACTGGGGAGGGGAGTTCCTCGGGAAGCAGTTCACCAACTTCGTGAACGGCAAGGGGATCGTCCACGATCTGACCTGCCCATACACCCCGCAGCAGAACGGCATGGCGGAGCGAGAGATGAGGACGGTGGTGGAGTCGGTGCGGACGATGCTGCTGCACATGGGCGTGCAGCACCACTGGTGGCACCTCGCTCTCCGGCAGGCCGTCTGGGTTCGCAACTGCCTTGAGAGGTCGGCGTTGCCGCCGGAGACGACGCCGTACCAGCTGCTGACAGGGAAGAAGCCCGACTTGTCGCTGGCGCGGGTGTGGGGCTGCATGGCGCAGTTCTTAGTCCCCGAGCAGCAGCGTGGTGGGAAGCTGCAGCCGAAGGCACGGTGGGGCCTTCACCTCGGCGTGTCGGAGGAAAGC